CAGGTCAACCATAATATGGCACGTGCAGTCGCTTTAAACCTGATAAAACACTCCTAATTAGTATTCTTTATATAAAGAATACTAACAAGGCAGTATCTATTGTAGTCGTGTCTTCATTAGTATTTTTTTGTATAAAGAATACTAATAAGGCAGTATATCTATTGAATTTGTAGTCGGGTATGAAGCCGTTTAATAAACTCTCAGGTCGTGTTTTATTAGGTCTAAAGCCACTCGCTCTTCGCGCTTGTGGCTTTAAACCTAATAAAACACTCCTGCTCGTTTATTAATTTAATTAAACAGTACGTAATAGCATGGTTTCTCGTGAAATTTGGAAAAACATGCACTCGTGAGTTTTTGAAAGACCTCATAATAGCACGAGTCCGGTTATAAATAATGGTGTTGGAAGTACTATTTACAACATGAGCAGCAGTTTTTTATCACATGTAAAGATACGAGGTGAAGCCGAGTATCTTTAGGTCTGATAAAACACGCACTGCGCCGAATGTTTTCAATTGCTTTGGACATGATCGATCTAATAAGTTCATTGACAAAGTAATTTTCAAAAAATTGAGTTGTGTTATACTTGTATAAGTCGAGAAAATTAAAGTTAAAGTTTGTGTAAATCTAGGGAAATCTCTATCTCATATAAAGATTCGACACGCTTATGATTTTTCTTAGTTTGTGCTTTCCTCGTGAATTATTAATGAGTTTTTTTAATTAATTAAAGTTATACAATACTTCGGAATACTCCGGGCAATGTAAATACACTCTTCACCTCCACCCTAGCTGTTGTTTTGTTACGCCATGTTAGGCGCTGACTGTCTTGTCTATCAGTTCATTAACCGCCCCGAGCAGTTTCAGGCAAGCATATATACTATGGTCTTTTGAACTACGATTTACCAGTAGAGCAATACAAATTACAATGCAGATTAATTGATCGAGCCTATTTATCTCGTATCTCGTATCTCGTATCTCGTATCTACGTATCTCGTGTAATTCCGTGTTTGATTATATTTTATGCGTTGTATATGGGCTTTGAGCTTGGAAAACCTGTTAATTTTTGTAACGTGATCTTAAATACGAATGGGTTCATCGATTGTAATAACAGAATACATCTTAAAAGGGGAAATACAAACGAAAATCCGAATACAACTCGTGGTTCAAATGCTCTGCTCGGAAAACATACCGTTTATGGACCTGTTCTGGTCTCTGATTCGGACGTCGAAATACCGCCTCATGAACGGCTGATAACTTGGTATCTCATGGCTAATTTTGCACGAGATGATCTTGTTTGTAATACAGGGAAGGAGTATTTATCGAAATATATAGATGATCATGAACGGAATGTGTCGCCTCAATGCATTTGCTACCACGCTGAAATTTACATGTCTTTTCATGCGGTAAATATATCAAACTCTGTTGTTATAGACATGAGATATATCCTATTTTGGGATAGAAACTCTTGTATACTTTTTGTTCATACGAAGGAAAAAAGATCAAAATGCCCAGTTAAGTACTATAGTAACTTCTTTGCTTTTCGGCGTTTGTTATTATCGGGAGATGTTGAACTAAACCCTTGGTCCCTGTACGGCGTTAAACTCAAATTTAAATGAGACGCCCACGATTACGGCTAATAGCAACAATATTCCCTCTCTCGCTGCTGATCTGCCCTCTGGATTAAAATTTGTTAGCTGGAATATACAAAGTCTCAATGCTCATTTGGACCAAGTTCGCTTGACATTAAATTCACCAAATGAAGCAAGTGTGATTGGTCTGTCCGAGACCTGGTTAAACCAAAACTTTATGAATAAAGATATTCAAATTGACGGCTATAAATTGGCTTCTCGGTTAGATCGTGTTAGAGATACTTGGGGAGGAGTTGCTATGTTAGTAAAAGAACATATACCATTTGACGAGCGAATAGATCTCAGAAATGATAATCTTGAGGCAATATGGATTGAAATAACCTATCCTAACTCGTCTCCAATACTTGTAGCTACAATTTTTAGACCACCTAAATCACCTGTGTTGTGGTATGAACATTTTATCGACATGTGTGAGAATGCATATTGCGAAGAAAAAGAAGTTATCATTATGAGTGACATTAATATTGATTTCCTTAAACCTAATTCAATTCCTAAACAATGGGTAGATATTATCGAATCGTACAACCTCACTCAACTCATAAAGGTTCCAACTAGAGTTACTAATTCGTCAAAGACATGCATCGATCATATCTATTTTACTAACCCAGAGCATGTACGGGCAACTAAAGTGGCAACAATAAGTATTTCCGACCATTTTCCGGTTTGTTACTCTCGATCGCGTAACTCAGTGACAAGAATACATAAACATTCATCAATCAAATATAGATCATATAAGAATTTTAATCAATCAGCTTTTCTGGAAGACCTAACCTTGGTGCCATGGAACGTATTCGAATCTTTTGATGACCCAAACGATGCCTTGGACTGCTGGGAGAAACTTTTCCTGGAAGTAGTAGAAAAACATCCACCTCTGAAGAAAAGACGTGTTAAGAAACCTAAACAACCAGAATGGCTTACAGAAGAAATGCTTAAAGCTATGAATACTAGGGACAAATTTGCCCAACTAAACGATGATCGAAATAGAAAATTATGGAGAAATAAAGCAAACAATCTTGTGAGAAATGGCAAAACTACGTATTACAGACAACTTATTGAAAATAATATTGGCAATAGTAAGAAGCTATGGAATCTCATTAGAGACCTAGCCCCTGAGGAATCGAAAACTACTCCAACAACATTGAAGGATGGTGGTGTAACACTTTTCAACCAACAAGATATATGTGATAGTTTTAATGAATTCTTCGCACAAATCGGAAATGCGATTGCTGCTTGTCTTCCCAATTCCCGAAACGATACAAGCGATGTGCTTGCAGACTTCATAAATAAACACATTGAAGTAAATTCAACATTTAATATTCCAAAGGTGTCTATCGATTTCGTGAGAGAAGAACTTAATTAATTGGATGACGCAAAATCTACGGGACTTGATGGAATTTCTCCAAAGTTATTACGTTTGGGTGCGACCGCTATAGCCCCTTCTGTTATACCTGGATTTTAAATTTGTCTATTACTACTTCCACTTTCCCAGATGACTGGAAAGTTGCTAAAGTCGTACCAATTCATAAACAAGGAAGTGCCCAGGAGAGAAAAAATTTCAGACCCATCTCAATTTTACCCACACTATCGAAACTACATCAAAGACGTGTGCATATTTCGTTCTACAAATTTTTAAAGTCAAACAACCTGCTGCATAAAGCTCAATCTGCTTTTCGAAATTTATTTTCCTGTGAAACAGCTATTACCTACATGATTGACAAGTGGGCTAAAGCAATAAATGAAGGATATATGAACGGAGTCGTCCTTTTAGATCTCCGTAAAGCTTTCGATCTAATTGATCATAGTATCTTGCTACAAAAGCTACGAATGTATAAATGCAGTACAAATTCTGTAAATAGGTTTTCCTCGTACCTACAAAACAGATATCAAAGTACATCTGTTAATGGTAAAATATCTTCCAAACTACCTATGACGAAAGGGGTTCCTCAGGGATCTATTCTGGGTCCCTTGCTTTTTATTGTCTTTATTAACGATCTGCCACTGTCTATCCCACATGGCGACATAGATATGTATGCGGATGATTCTACCATCACGACATCTGCGAAAACCATAAACCAACTCAATGAAAACTTAAATCAAGCTATGGATGAGGTCTCAAATTGGTGTAATGACAACAAAATGATGCCAAATACAGACAAAACGAAGTGTATGCTCATAACATCGTGGCAAAAACGGCTTCACATACCACAAAATGAAGATCTGTGTGTAAGCCTTAACAATATAGCACTGGAAAACGTTGCTTCAAAACCATTACT